CACGCCATCCACTTTCGATGTTCAAAGGTTAACCTGACTCGTTTAAATAAATTTGTTTTTCCCAACAGATCCGAGATTAATTCCAGATCAACACTATTTCCACACTGACACTGTTACAAATCACCGCTACATATTCTTGTCGGCCATCATATTAAAACAATTTATAGAAATGTTGTACACTTACTTCCGTCTGCTTCTCGCTTGCGAGCGGATTGTGCTACTCACCAGTCTTCTCAGAGCAATTTGTAGACTTTCTGAAAAGTCCTTCGTCTTGTTTATTCAGTACCCGACCTCTCGCGACTTCGTCGCTCGCTCGGCCGCTTCGCGACCTTAAAAACGGCCGCTTCGCGGCCTAACATATTCTACCCTGAAATTCATGAGGTCGACTTGTGGCAAGTCGAAGCAATTTGATCTAGACAAGAGCTGCGCTCTCACCAGGGCCAGGCTGATTAAAGGATGGGTAACTTAGCCTGCGAGCAGGTTCTCGTGCTTGGGCCGGGGGCTCGAGCGGCGAAGCCGCGAGAAGACGTTCTCTCACATGCCAAAGCAAACACCAAGAAAGCAGCGCTTGAGTGTGAAACCCATACACTAGAGCCTGTTTGCAGGCTAAGGGTATTCACCCAAAAAAATTACTAACCCTGACTGGATAGTGATTTACGCAATGGATACATGTACCTTTATCCAGCTTTTGAACAACCGGGCCAGATGTATACGTGTAGCTGGAGGTTGTTCAAAACTAGAAAATAAATAATAACAGAATAACTTTATTTATTTATTATATCTATCATCATTCATAATATCTGAGTTCTGGGTTCTGGATTCCGGATTCCGGATACCGGATACCGGATACCGGATTCTGGATTCCATATTTTACCATTCGCGCAGTGGCGGGGGAGAACACTCTGCGCGCCTGGCACTTTTTTTGCGTTTGGATCATCCACCAAAAAGTGACGTCACATCCGGTAAAAAAGCGGGCTGAGCGGTAAAATCAAATTTGAATGCGACATAATCGTTCTCACAGTAAGTAAAATAGACTTGCCACAAGTCGACCTAATGAATTTCAGGGTAGACTAAGGACTTTTCAGAAAGTCTATAAGTAAAATGGCAATATTTCGTAATCGGCGGGATATTTCTAACGTTTTATTTGGCCATGATAAACAAAATTTTGTTGTCTTCCTCGTCGTATCGTTTGTTTGAGGAACAGAACGATTATTTATTGAAAAACACGCTGTTTTGAAGGCGTGTGGTTTTACGAAATGTCGTCGTTTTTTCTTAGCTGAATTCCACAGGAGTCATCGTTTGCGTGGAAATAATGAATTCTAGGTAAGTTGCACTCAATTCAAATATCCTATTCTCTTAGGTAGGCATTACACTAAGAGAAAAGCGCAATGCCAGTTTTCTAGACGTGGGAGAACCTATTCAACAGAAGCCCATTTTTTCAAATTCACCCTTGACAAACACTCGAGAGTAATGTGCAGGTGGTAATCGTATCACACTGTAGGAATAGACCCACACACAGAACGCGGCGGAACTTTCTTGCCGATCGACACTAACGCAAATTCATGTTCTTGCGTGTGACTCAAACTGGTGTTATAAATTCTGTTACGACTGGTTAAGAACCTTTAATAAGTTATCTTCATTTTTCCCTTGGCAATTCCTTAATTGGTAAACGCTTCCTTTAACATAGGCAGGCCGTGAACCCTTAAAAATAAACAAGATATTCTTATGGGCGATTCAGTAATTTGGGTATCTCGTGTTTTTTTTTTCCAGTTATAATCTAATTT